TTATTATTATTATTATTATTATATAGTTAATGACACTATTTCAACAACGATCGCTGCTGTTGTGTTTTAGGCACAGTTTATCTAGGCCACCTCCAGTTGCAAGAAAAGTTGATTTCAATATTTGTTTCTTGAACGTAAGTTGAAAAGTAAAAGACAGGTGCAGAAGAAATTTAAGAAAGTACAAATTGCTGATAATATTTCAGTGATCGCATGCAGAAACTTTTCCCTGTCGCTACCCGGATTCGAAACCGGGACCTTTTGAATGAGAGGCGACGAGAGCCCCCAGGCCAGCTCTGTGCCTCTTTCCCAAAAAGTAAAAGTACAGTTTAACCCTATCCGTACGCCATGGGGTCATTTTGTACCCCAGGGGTTGTATTCTTCACATTTTAAAATACTTCTAGAGCGAAGATCTCTTTGAAATTTTTAGCATTTCTCAAAAAATCATTTTGACAGACTGCTATGCAAAGGGCACGGATCGGTTTAACGAGTAGATTTCCTCTTTGGAAAGTGGTGACACAGAGTTCCTCACGTCGTAAGGATAAAATAGTAAAACACGATGTACGGATAGGGTTAAACGTGCCTGTGGCAGCACTCACCGAGAAGAAGATGGTGTTCCCGAACGTATCCCGGAAGGCGGCCTTGATGAGGTCTGTGAGTGAGCGCAGCTCCACGATACGCCGAGAGCTGGTGCACGTGAGCTCCTCCCTGTCCGCCAGTAGCTTCTCCCGCTCCACTTTGGGCATGCGGCCAAATCGTACAGCTGGGGAGAGCACAGGATAGACACTGTTTTAGTTTTGTTTTAATAACCGTTTTACTGTACTTGCAACAATAGGATTACCATTGTTTTAGTTTTGTTTTAATAAGTTTTACGGTACTTACAGCATCAGTATAGCCATTGTTTTAGTTTTGTTTTAGTAACCGTTCTACGGTACTTGAAACAATTAGGCAATATTATCATAAGTGCCCAAGATTAGTGGTGTTACCAGAGAGTAACAAACACAAAACAGGAAGAACGTAACGACAGTAGATGTTTGAGAGGAGCAAACGGCACCAGAGCACCCAAAAGAGTACGCAAATATCGTAGAAAACGGTAAATTTAATCTAGTAGATGTATTACAAGAGAGTGACAATTAAAGAAAAGAAGGAGGAGAGATAATGACGACAGATGTTTGATAGGAAAAAAGGGGCAAACCACATCGCAGTGAAGACGTCAACTAACTGTGAAGAGGTCAACTAACTGTGAAGAGGTCAACTAACTGTGAAGAGGTCAACTAACTGTGAAGAGGTCAACTAA